CCACCCATACACAAAAATGTATGCACGCATGACTGTAAGTCGCTTTGGATAAAAGCGTCTGCTAAATGGCATATTAATATTGTCAATAAAAGCCTCTAAGAGAGGTGAGCGCCAGAACATCCTGTCTGTCTCCTCACTGTCTGATCCGCCACTTCGGTTTCTCTACCACAGACATTAATGAGCGAGCTAGGACGGACATAGTCAATATAACTATTTGTTCAGAACCTGGGCCATTCTTACAGTATTCTCCCTGTACACCAAGTCAGAACCGTACGATAAATAAAGGGGGCAGATAAGCAGACAATGAAAGCTCCTACAATATTTGATGATGACATTTCTCTAAAACAGGTTATAGGCTACATGTGCACCACCAAGTCAGAACATTATTAGGGTGAGGCACATGGGATACTAACAGCTTACTACACAACATACACTTAGTATTACCTTCTTAGCTACAGTATACATATCTCCCTGGCATATTAAATCATTTATGCAGCAGCATACAATACATTTTTGGACTCACCTTGTTGTGCTGTGCTCACTTGAACAGGAAGGTGGCGCAGAGATCCTTTGTGGGCAAATTTTGTCATCAAACTTTGTCATCAAAGTCTGGCATTGTCTGGATTTATGGTGCTTTCAAGACAACTGGGAACTCTGAAAAAACAAGGTCGAATCATGATGACGTCAGTGATCTTCAGGTCGGAGATCTAGAAAGAGGGCAGAGTTCCAGACTTGCAATTCAGAGTTGGTTGACCATTCAAAACATATCTTTTTCAGAGTTCCCAGTTGTGTTGAATTCACTGAAGTCTGAGATTTCCCAGTTCCGAGTTTCCAGTTGTTTTGAGCATGGCCAATGTTGAATGTTTATCCTTTTAAACTTGGAAAAGAGACCCTTAAACCCAGACTTGGACCACACATCCACTCCACTGAATAGCAGGCTAGTGATTGCTTTGCAACGCTTGCAGTTAGCCACTGATTCCTTCCAAACCACTCATTGTTGAATTTGCGATTTCCAACTTGTTGTGTAATGTTTATGTCCAATGGCCGATGAGCACCGATATGTTTTATCTATAATTTCTCTTCATCATTTCTCTTCATCTGACAAGGATTGAAAAGGATTTGCTAGTATATTGTCAACTTGATTCATGATGATGACTGCTAGATTGCTAGCTAAGATTTTGAAAGTAAGATGTTGACATGATCAGTCCAATCAAAGCTACTGTAGATATAACGTGATTTGACGTAATTTTATCTGTGGCCAATGACCTTGAGTCCATATTCTTCCCTCTTGTATAGATTTGTGAAAATGAACAGTGATAGACATTTTGCCTGAAAACAGAATTTGAAAAATAATTTCTAGAAAAGGTAAACACAGCTATCTGTATGGCTTTGTAAAAATGAACAACCATATTCTGGCCAATTGTATAGATTTGTAAATATGATGATGTCTCCTTTCATGCATACATTTTCAAATAAAGCTCTGCTTTGAGAAAGATCGAATGATATTGTTTAATCTTACCTTATGGCCTGCACACTCCTTGTGAAGCTGTCGAGGGCACGTTTGATGAAGACAGCATCGATGTCCTTCTTCTGTAGCTTCTGGTACAGAATGTCGACGTGGGGCATGATTTTGTGAAAAAGCCCCAGGAAAAAAATTAAATCTTATTGCTATCTATGTACCTCAGCACAAGCACCAGCTGTGTCTGTGTAGAAACGTCCGTGGTCTCGTCAGCTTGGATAGCTACGAAGTTCGCCGACTTCACCTCCTCCACAATATGTTCCCTCATGACCGCTAGCATACACTCCAGTAGCTCGTTTTGAATGGTCTTTGATGTGCCCTTGAAAACTTTAGCATTTTTAAGATGGTCATCAAACACCTCATCTAATTGTGCCACAAAGTTGACAAGTCCAAGAAAAATACCAGGGTTGGTGGAGCCCTCCGTTTCATCTTTGCCTCGCAAAGCTAACTCAAACACTCCGCAAAACTTCACACACTGGATTAGCCGGCTGAGGATGTGGCGGTTCTTGCTAACCTCATCGTTGTGGCGGCGGACAGCTAGCCTGTATCCCTCATCCAGTTGAGTGGCAATGTTCACTCTCCCCAAAGCAGACAATCTCAAACAGCTATCCATGTGGGTCTTTGACAGCCCAATTTTTGGAAAATCCTCGGGTGTAGGACTTTCCCCCTTTAGTAGAAACCTGTTGAATTATTAAATTTGGTCTGGGAGGTCCTAATTGTTTCGTTGCCAATTTATCTTGATTTGTTCGCCGACAATCAGTGCTAGCCATCTTGATTGACGCTGCTACCCGCTCTTTTCTTAGTTATGTTACGTATGACGAAAGCGCGTAAGTGCAAGCCCTCCCGGAACCCATAGAGATTGTATTGAAAGCTCTGATATTTGAAAAAAAAAGATTTTACATGAGAGGCTATGAGACACTTCTGGGCGATTTTCAACCTGACTGAAATCGCCCCAAAACGGGCGGGGCCATTTGAAGCACGACTTTAGCCTGATTGGACATTTTGTGGCAGATCAGACGTCTAGATTAGAACACTAATAACTACTGTTGCCGTGATATAATTGATTAGAAAAAAAATCCCTTCCTTTTCCCGTTTGGCAGTGCGTCGCCCATATCGCCCTAATGAACACACCGCCCCTGACCTTGAGCCTTCTTGGATGGGCACTTCTAATGTAATACTATGGCAGCACCCAAGGGGCTTGAATTTTGGAGCTCTACCCATAGAGTTTTCAGTGGCGTAGTGTCCCCATGAGTGACAGAACACTGAGCCAATCACGGCACAACTGGAGAACATTAACAACCCCTACGCTCCGTATTTTCCGCTGGCTGCCCCACCACAACAGAAAGCACTGAGCTAGGCAGAAACACCTGCATTTTGGAGCTGCCTTACTCAAGAAAGCAAAAAAGAGACCATGTTTGTATGCAGCTTTATTAACTCTGCCCCACCTGCCTTGAATGACAGGTCACCACTGCATCTGTGGCATTGTGTTGTGTGACAAAACTGCACATTTTAGAGCTGCCTTTTATTGTCCTTAGCACAAGGTCACCTGTGTAATGATCATGCTGTTTAATCAGCTTCTTGATATGCCACACCTGTCAGGTGGATGTATCATCTTGGCAAAGGAGAAATGCTCACTAACAGGGATGTAAACAAATTTGTGCACATAATGTGAGAGAAATAGTATTTTTGTGCATATGGAAGATTTCTGGGATCTTTTATTTCAGCTCATGAAACATGGGACCAACACTTCACATGTTGTGTTTATATTTTTGTTCAGTGTACTTTTGGTGATGAGGCTACATGAGACTACATGTGAAGATACATACAGGGTTGCTTACTGCTGGGTTCTGACTTCTAAACTTGAAATATTGTTAGTCATCAGGTATCCTATGGAAATGAGAAGGGCCACAGTCTGGTTTCCACACCAGAAGTTAATGGTTATCTGTAGGAGGAATGTATATGGTGGGGTCAATTAAGGTTGGATAGGAGCCAGGGGCTTGGAATTTATTGAGGAAAGGAAAGGTAGTCACATGGTTGCAGTCACTGATAAGGGTGGAGAGCTGTGGATTTGTGAGGAATGGGGGCCGAGTTCAGGTCAGGTCACATTAAGAGAGAAGGAACAGTATATTACCCACATCACTTCACTTCCTGCCTAGCAATAAATATGTAATGTTTAGAGGGAAGGAGCAGTTCACCAAAATTGAAGTATATATATTTGTGCTGGTGGGAACGTGTTTTTGGCTGTTCAGCTGTCTGACCCTTTGGGTGAATAAACTTGGTTTGAGCTTTCTGTAGTAGTCCGTGAATTTTGATTTTTTATTTGTCAGAACCTAACATTACTATAAAATGTTTGTGTATATTTAGTGTATATGGTAACAGAAGTGTTTTAATCGGAATCTTAGAAAGTAAGAAAAACGTCAAAAGAAATGGAAGCCTAGATGGAACTCAACGAGTACACACACACTCTCTCTCTCTCTCTCTCTCTCTCTCTCTCTCTGTCTCTCTGTCTCTCTCTCCTCTCTCTCTCTCTCTCTCTCTCTCTCTCTCTCTCTCTCTCTCTCTCTCTCTCTCTCTCTCTCTCTCTTGCACACACACTCGCTTACCTTGCAGTACATTGTTTTGATAAAATCCACTCATCTCTGACTCCCATGTCCTGCCTCAGTAAACATAGACAGTTGGTAACAAGACCAGTGTAAGAGTGTGTGTGTGTGTGTGTGTGTGTGTGTGTGTGTGTGTGTGTGTGTGTATGTGTGTGTGTGCGTGCTGTGTTGCCCACTGTTAAACAACTCTCCATTCATTTCCTCCTGCTGTTTCTCACACTGTAGTGTCCTTCCCCCTGTCCCTGTTCACTGGCCCACAGCCGCACACACACACACACACACAAACACAAACACACACACACACACACACACACACACACACACACACACACACACACACACACACACACACACACACACACACACACACACACACACACACACACACACACATACATACAGAGACAGACACACCCATACAGAGACAGTAGGTGAAGCAGACAGACAGTAGGTCATGGCACGGTAGGCTCCTATTAAATCCAGCCAAGGGACCACAATTCGGAGACACACAGACACGCACACACACACCCAGGGACATCCTGGGAGTCCCAGACAGGCTAGAATAGAATAGATTATTATATTAGGTCTTTGTTCACAGTGACACCAGTGACACTGAATGATCTGGCAACAGAAGAGACAGAGGGAGGAGAGAGTCTGGTGGTTTTAGGTTCTCATGAACTGATCAGAAGGAGAGAGAGAGAGGGAGAGGTAGAGAGAGAGAGTAGAGAGACCGGGAAATGAGATGAGAGCACTTCTGCTTATGGTGGTGTGTCTGCCAATGGAAGAGAAGTGGTAGAGTGAAAAGATGGAGAAAAAAAGGAGGGAAGGAGAGAGAGAGAGAAAGATAGAGTAAAGAAAGAACAGGGAAGAGATAGATAGTGATGGAGGAAAGTGAGTGATGGAGGGAGGAGAGAGAGAGACTGAAAGACAGAAGAGATGAATGTGCCCTCAGCCTTGGTGATTCTAAAAGACACATGAGAGAAACACAGAAGCACAATATGAGTATGTGACTTACTCAGTAAAGAGCTAGTGCAAACATACACACACAAATACACACACACACACACACACATACATACAGACTGACGTACACACACACAAACTCAAATGCACACACACACTTATACATGAGCTTACTAATATACAGATCAAATACACTCACAACAAAGGCTGACACATCACACGTTGCTAGATACATATTTTATGTGTGTGTGTGTTTATCTGAAACATATTCATAGACAAACACTTTATTCATAAAAACACATTCAGAGAACTTTTGCATTAGGGCAGGAACAGAGAACAGGGAAATATTATTTGTTAGAAATAGTTTTACAGTTTCCCTATTTGCTTACAATCACCTGAGCTTCCGCTGTGTTTTGATTATGAGAGCTAGCCTAGCTAGCATCAGTCATGTTGAACAATGAGAGCACTAGCTGATCTAGCCTAGCATCTATCTAGCTCGACTAGCATTCCATTTTGAGCTGTGAGACCAGTTAGCTAACCTATTCTAGAATTGTGTTTGAACTATGAGAGCCCTTGCTAGCCTAGTTAGTATAAGGTACACTGCTCAGGGTACACTAAAATAACACATCCTAGATCTGAATGAATGAAATAATCTTATTAAATACTTTTTTCTTTACATAGTTGAATGTGCTGACAACAAAATCACACAAAAAGTATCAATGGAAATCAAATGTATCAACCCATGGAGGTCTGGATTTGGAGTCACCCTCAAAATTAAAGTGGAAAACCACACTACAGGCTGATCCAACTTTGTCCTTAAAACAAGTGAAAATGAGGCTCAGTAGTGTGTGTGGCCTCCACGTGCCTGTATGACCTCCCTACAACGCCTGGGCATGCTCCTGATGAGGTGGCAGATGGTCTCCAGAGGGATCTCCTCCCAGACCTGGACTAAAGCATCCGCCAACTCCTGGACAGTCTGTGGTGCAACGTGGCGTTGGTGGATGGAGCGAGACATGATGTCCCAGATGTGCTCAATTGGATTCAGGTCTGGGGAACGGGCGGGCCAGTCCATAGCATCAATGCCTTCCTCTTGCAGGAACTGCTGACACACTCCAGCCACATGAGGTCTAGCATTGTCTTGCATTAGGAGGAACCCAGGGCCAACCGCACCAGCATATGGTCTCACAAGGGGTCTGAGGATCTCATCTCGGTACCTAATGGCAGTCAGGCTACCTCTGGCGAGCACATGGAGGGCTGTGCGGCCCCCCAAAGAAATGCCACCCCACACCATGACTGACCCACTGCCAAACCGGTCATGCTGGAGGATGTTGCAGGCAGCAGAACGTTCTCCACGGCGTCTCCAGACTCTGTCACGTCTGTCACATGTGCTCAGTGTGAACCTGCTTTCATCTGTGAAGAGCACAGCGCGCCAGTGGCGAATTTGCCAATCTTGGTGTTCTCTGGCAAATGCCAAACGTCCTGCACGGTGTTGGGCTGTAAGCACAACCCCCACCTGTGGACGTCGGGCCCTCATACCACCCTCATGGAGTCCGTTTCTGACCGTTTGAGCAGACACATGCACATTTGTGGCCTGCTGGAGGTCATTTTGCAGGGCTCTGGTAGTGCTCCTCCTGCTCCTCCTTGCACAAAGGCGGAGGTAGCAGTCCTGCTGCTGGGTTGTTGCCCTCCTACGGCCTCCTCCACGTCTCCTGATGTACTGGCCTGTCTCCTGGTAGCGCCTCCATGCTCTGGACACTACGCTGACAGACACAGCAAACCTTCTTGCCACAGCTCGCATTGATGTGCCATCCTGGATGAGCTGCACTACCTGAGCCACTTGTGTGGGTTGTAGACTCCGTCTCATGCTACCACTAGAGTGAAAGCACCGCCAGCATTCAAAAGTGACCAAAACATCAGCCAGGAAGCATAGGAACTGAGAAGTGGTATGTGGTCACCACCTGCAAAACCAGTCCTTTATTGGGGGTGTCTTGCTAATTGCCTATAATTTCCACCTGTTGTCTATTTCATTTGCACAACAGCATGTGAAATGTATTGTCAATCAGTGTTGCTTCCTAAGTGGACAGTTTGATTTCACAGAAGTGTGATTGACTTGGAGTTACATTGTGTTGTTTAAGTGTTCCCTTTATTTTTATGAGCAGTGTATTTTTGAACTAGCCTAGCATTAGCCATGTTTAAATTATGAGAGCTAGCCTTGCTAGCATTAGCTGTATTTGAACTATGATACCTTTATCTAGCCCAACTAGCTTTAGCGTGTTTGAACAGGCTGATACCGGCTGGCCGTTGGCCACTTCTAGTTATCCAGTGTTTGTGTATTTCCTTGTTGGCCCCACAGCATTGTTAAAGGAAAGATTCATATGATACAAAACTCATCATGCCAGCTGTATTTCTGCCTGCTTCAGCGGCAATAGCTCAGATACACACGAAAACATGAAATGACCCCTGGAATCGATAAAACATCACTCAGAGATGCACAAAAACATTCAAAATGGGTGAATCTTTCCTTTAAAGGGCAATTCCGCCACTTTTGAACCTCATATTCATCATCTCCTGCACCATACCAGTGTCTACATAAAGTGAAAACGGCACGTTTCTATGATCTGTGGTTAAAAAGAGAAGAAGAAAGGTCCTAGAAAATGCTTCTCTGTGACATTTATTTTCTTATGATGATGTCATCGGATATAACTTTTTTCCTTTATATGTTTTTTCTACAAAACTTGGAAATGCGCCGTTTTCACATAGACACTGGTATTGTGCTGGCGATACTGAAAATGAGGTTGAAAAGTGGTGGAATTGCCCTTTAACTCCACCACTACAAACTCTGGTGTTGTACAAACAATCAACCACAGCTTATATTACTGCCTGTCTGTCTGTCTGTCTGTCTGCCTGTCTGTCTGTCGGCAGGTTTGAATCACTGACTGACTGTCTAACTGTTTGACTGACTGTCTGACTGCACAGTGCAACTGCTGGGTTGATTGTGTGTGGGAGCATGTGTGTTGTCTGTGTATTATTAAGTATATGTGTGTGTGTTCTTGTGTATGACACCTTTTTCCGCTCTGCAGGGATGAAGACCTACCTGATCTCAGGGAGGAAGTTGGAGCATTCTCTGGACATCCGGACCCCGTGCCCTTGCCCCCACACCTCTGCCCTCATGCCTGGGGGGGCTGCTGCCCTCTGTGTGCCCTGCACTGTGAATGGGGAGCAGACAGAGGAGGGGGCCGGACTCAATGGATGCCAGGACGAACATAAGACTAACAGCGCCAAGGTAGATCACACGCATATGCAGGCACGCATGCACATACACACACACACACACACACACACACACACACACACACACACACTGACAACACACTCCTGCACCAACGTAGCTTACCACACACCTACTAATAACACACACCTGCACCAACGTAGCTTACTACACACCTACTAATAACACACACCTGCACCACACACACACACTTGTCTAACACACATCCCTCTCTCTCCTTCTTCTTCTGTAGTTTACACCAGGCTGCAGCCCCAGGGCTCTGAATGGCATTCTCAGTCCACCACTGGAGGACTCAGTGAGGGCCAGCCAGAGCTCTCTGTGTGACATGCTTCAGGAGAAAGAAAAGAAGACCAGTACGGGCACAGGGACGGGTACCAGCCTGGGTATGGGGGGTCCAGGAGGGGCGGGACCGGGGGGCATGGGCATGGACCACTCCGCCCTCATCCCGTTACGCTCCAAGAACTTCAGGGAGAAGAGTGATGTCCATTTTGTTGATGTCATCAAGGAGGACAGGTGAGGACTGGAGGGAGTCTGGTGGCTTTTGGCTTTACTTATGAACTGTTTTGAGGTCAGTTCTTCTAAATAACCCTGAACCAGTGGCTTTAGTAGAATGATTGACAGTCTAAAGCTGACCCTGGACTAGTTGATATGACTAGTTGTTGGATACTACTGCACTGCTGTTAGATACTACTGCACTGCTGGAGCTAGGAACACAAGCATTTCACTACACCCGCAATAACATCTGCTAAATATGTGTATGTGACCAATAATATTTGATTTGATTTAGGAGCAGAACTGGGCATGTCTTGGCAGATCAGGGTTTAGCCTTCCTTAGGTTTAAAGTGTTAATGTCACATGCACAAGTACAGTGAAATGCCTTTCTTGCAAACTCTAAACCCAATAATGCAATAATCAGTATCAATGTAGGACTAAAAAAAGAACATAATGTAGAACGGAAACATATGAAAAATATAAATACTAAATAAGAAGATCATGAGACAGTAAGAAGCTGTATACAGGGTCAGTTCCAGTACCATATGTATAATGTGCAGGGATACTGGATCGATAGAGGTAGATATGTATGTAAGGTGACTAGGCATCAGGATATATGATAAACAGAGTAGCAGCAGCATATATGATGATTGTATGTGAGTGTGTGTGTGTGTGTATGTGTGTGTGTGTGTAGAGTCAGTATAGATGTGTGTGAATGTTATGTGTGTGTTGGAGTGTCAGTGTGTGTGAGTGTGTAGAGTCCTGTGAGTGTGCATAGAGACACTATTAAAAATAAATAAAGGGTCAACTTAGATAGACATAGATAGTGCCTGTAGCCATTTTGTTAGCTATTTAGCAGTCTTATGGCTTGGGGATAGAAGCTGTTCAGGAGCCTGTTGGTGTCAGACTTGATGCACCGGCACCACTTGCCATGCGGAAGCAGAGAGAACAGTCTGCTGGTCTGTTAGGGCTTTGGATTACCAACAGTGCTATGGTGATTATTGTTGACAGAGTATATATTTGAAGTCAGTCACTAAGGGAGGAATCCTAACTTGAGATGCATGCACTTAACCTCGATGATCATGTAAATAATGCATAGATGTCAATGGATGATTCAAGTCATGATGAAGTTAGGATTCCACCCTAGAACCCTCCACCTGTCTTTTTCTCAATCTATTCTCCTGTCTTTCAAGTCTGATGAAGGACTACTTCTTCAAGCCTCCCATCAACAAGCTGAGCCTCAACTTCCTGGAGAGACCTCTGGAGACAGCCTACCGTATCAGCTACCAGGAGGAGGTACACACACACACACACACACACACGTGCACACACACGCGCACACACACACACACACACACACACACACACAGAGACACACACACACACACACAGAGACACACACACACACACACACACAGAGACACACACACACACAGAGACACACACACACACACACACACACACACACACACAGACACACACAGAGAGACACACACACGCGTGCACGCGCGCACACACGCACACCCGCACACACGCAATCACGCACACACGCACACACCCACATACACACACACACAGACACACACACACACACACACACACAGACACACACAGACACACACAGACACACACACACTCAATCCGTGTCAGTCAAAGCTCCTGAGTGGCGCAGTGGTCTAAGGCACTGCTTTGCAGTGCTAACTGTGCCACTAGAGATCCTGGTTCGAATCCAGGCTCTGTCGCAGCCGGCCGCGACCGGGAGACTCATGGGCGGCGCACAATTCGTCCAGGGTAGGGGAGGGAATGGCCGGCAGGGATGTAGCTCAGTTGATAGAGCATGGCGTTTGCAACGCCAGGGTTGTGGGTTCAATTCCCACGGGGGGCCAGTATAAAAATATATATATATATATGTGTATTCACTAACTGTAAGTCGCTCTGGATAAGAGCGTCTGCTAAATGACTAAAATGTAATGTAAATGTAAAGCCGTATTGACCACATGTTCATACAAAGCCCCCTGCTGGTGTGTATAACATATTGCAGCCCAATTCTAACAGTTTGACCACAATTATTAGTAGTAGTAATCTGCATCTTTATCTCCTCCCTCCTGTCTCTGTCCCTCTGTTGTTCTCCTCTCATCCCAACTGTCTAACCACCTCTCCCCCTTCTTTCTCCACTCCTTCTCTCTATGTCTCTGACTACTCTCTCTATCCCCCTTTCCCCTCCCTCCTTCTCCTCCCCCTCCCTCTGTCCCTCTTTCTCCCTCTCTGTTCTCTCATCTCCTTCTCTCTATGTCTCTGACTACTCTCTCCCCTCCAGGTGGAGACCCAGGCCCCGGTGCAGACCTTCTCTCTATGTCTCTGACTACTCTCTCCCCTCCAGGTGGAGACCCAGGCCCCGGTGCAGACCTTCTCTCTATGTCTCTGACTACTCTCTCCCCTCCAGGTGGAGACCCAGGCCCCGGTGCAGACCTTCTCTCTATGTCTCTGACTACTCTCTCCCCTCCAGGTGGAGACCCAGGCCCCGGTGCAGACCTTCTCTCTATGTCTCTGACTACTCTCTCCCCTCCAGGTGGAGACCCAGGCCCCAGTGCAGACCTTTGCCAGCCCTATCTTCAGCTCCTTCCTGGATGTTCTCCTATCCTGCTCTGTGTTCCTCGCCCTCACCTTGGCCTGCTTCCTGGTTCCCATGGTCACCATGGAGACGCCCCCAGCAACCGTCCTGGGATTGGCTACCGCTGCTGGTCTGTTAGAGCTGGTCTCCCTGGTGCTGTCCATACGGTGAGGGATGGAGGGGGGAGATAGTGGGAGAGAGAGAGGGTGGGTGAAGTGAAACGTGTCTGCTGGCGTTGGTCTCCCTGTTGCTATATGGAGGAATGAGAAATTAGAAAGGGAGGGAGTGTATCACAATGTTGTCCTTTTTTGCTATTTACTTGTCCCTTCTTTCCTCACCTCCTCTCCCTCGGCCCCCTGCAGGATGACGTTCTACCTGGACAACGTGTTGAGCTGTACCCACACCTTGCTGAGGGTGGTGTCAGGCTGGCTCCCCCGTCATGTGATCGGGGCCGTGCTGGTCTCACTTCCTGCCGTGTCCGTGTTCTCACACCTGGCCTGCAGCCTCCACCTGCCCATCCAGGTAAGGAGGGATAGAGAGGGTAAAGAAGGAGGGCATACTGGTAGACATGGGCTTCTAGTCAGGGATGGTCAAAAGGTGGGTGAACGCTGGTCGAGATGACGAATGGCAAATGCATTACTGCTAACAACACTTATTTACAGTAATAGGTGTTCTCAAGTGTAAAGGGGAAAAGTGTGTGTGACTAAGTGTCAAGAGCATTGAGTTACACTTGGTCTACAGCTGTAGGGCACACTAGAAAGTGCCAGTGTTTCAGAGAGAGAAACAGTCAATGGAAAATGGAGAGGGGCTATACTTGTGGACCTTGGCACACAGATTATTGACATTCTCCTTCTTTCAAATCCTTTATGTGGAAGAGATAGAGGTCCTAGTTTGGGCAGAGGCAAGCTACACACTGCACATTGTTTTCTCTAGCCTTATTCCGAGTCCAAAGCTGCTGCCATAGGGCTCTGGTCAAAAGGTAGTGTACTATATAGGGAATAGGGTGCCAAGTCTTGACTGCTTACAAGTCAAGCTGGTGTGTTTTGATAACTTGTTTTGCAAGGATGCCCCCCCCCCCCCCCCCCCACACACACACACACACATATACACACATATACACACACACATATGCATGCAGTCACACACACACACACACACACACACACACACACACAATAGCATGGAAGAGAGCGATTGATAACATGGCAGAGTAAGAGAAGATGTGTGTGAGAGAGGGATGGAAGGGAGGGACAGAAGCATGGATGGAGAGATGGAGGGATGGAAGAGAGACGTGTAAAGTTGTCATCATTAGGCGGCTGCTGAAGGCATTAAGTCTGTACTAACAACTGTCCAGGGGATTCAATTATTGATGTGTGTGTGTGGGTGTGTGTTCACACATGCCAGTGGTGTTCATAAGGTATGTGCTCACAGGTGTGAGTGTCTTGAGGGTATTCGGTGGGGAAGTATGTTTATGTTACCATATTTTGTGTGAGTACTCGTGTACCAGGGTCAAGTTCCATTTCAATTTGGGAAATAACCTGAAATTCCAATTCTAATTTCTTCTCATAGAGAAGCATTGAGGAACATTGGAATTTTAGTTTACACAAACAAATGTTGTGTGTCCTCCCTCTAGGTAACCATGTTCCTGTGCTGTGCAGTGACCATAGCCATAATCCAGTACTGTAACTTCTGCCAGCTGAGTTTCTGGATGAGATCTGCCCTGGCCACGGCTGTTGGTGGGTCTCTGCTAGTGCTTCTCTACAGCCCCCTCAACAGGACAGGGTGAGTACTGCAGCCTATACGTATTTAGGACCCATTCATAACTTTAATCAAATCCAATGTAGGGAAATGCTTATGTTCCTAGCTCTAACAGTGCAGTAATATCTGACAATACAAAACAATACATGCAAATCCCAAAAAATAAAAGAAAGGAATTAAGGAATATAGAAATATTAGAACGAGCATTCCGGAATATTCATATATATGTATATGATGGTGTGTATAGACATTATGAACAATATATGAATAGAAAAGGTGTGTACAGCAGTAGTTATATAGGATGAGCAACTAGAATACAGTATATACATATGAAGTGGTTAAAACAGGATGTAAACATTATTCAAGTGTTTAATGACTATGTACATAGGGCAGCAGTCTCTAAGGTGCAGGGTTGAGTACCGGGTGGTAGCCGGCTAGTAACAGTGAGTAAAGTTCAGACCAGGGTACTGGGCGGAGGCCGGGTATTGGTGACTATTTAACAGTCTTATGGCCTGGAGATAGAAGCTGTTTTTCAGTCTCTCAGTCCCAGCTTTGATGCACCTGTACTGTCTCTGCCTTCTAGATGGTAGCGGGGTAAAACGTTAGAAACTTTATAACATTATTAAGATGTTATAACTTATGTTATAATGTTAACACTTAAAAATTATGAATGTCAAGGTAGCACCATTTTATATCATACACAATATGCACAATAATACACAATACACCTATCTCTCCCAGTGGCTCTTGGGAGATGTTGATATTCATCTGTTTGTCAGCGTAGTTGTGTGTGTGAGTTTTATTTTTTAAATTTTATTTCACCTTTATTTAACCAGGTAAGCCAGTTGAGAACAAGTTCTCATTTACAACTGCGACCTGGCCAAGATAAAGCAAAGCAGTGCGATAAAAACAACAACACAGAGTTACATATGGGGTAAACAAAACATAAAGTCAAAAATAAAACAGAAAATATATATATACAGTGTGTGCGAATGTAGTAAATTATGGAGGTAAGGCAATAAATAGGCCATAGTGCAAAATAGTAAGTGTGTTGGAGTGTGTTATCACGCTTGTGTTTAACTCACAGGAGTCATTCTGAGAGGTTGATATGAATCAGTCAGCCTTGAGTGCCTGGGTGTGTGTGTTTGTGTGTGTGTGTGTGTGTGTGTGTGTGTGTGTGTAACTGACGGCAGTCACTCTGTCTTGCAGCTCCAGTAATGACAGTTCTCCAGCGATGGGGTGAGTGTTGCCGTGGAAACGCAGAATGTTGATGGATGAGTGACATTTGGGGGGGTGACGGAAGGTGAAAGGAGAGAAGAGGGACCGTCTTTCTATCGCTCTCTCTCTCCCTCTCTCGCTCCCTCTCTCTCCCTCTCTCTCCCTCTCTCTCTCCCTCTCTCTCCCTCCCTCTCTCTCTCCCTCTCTCTCCCTCTCTCTCTCCCTCTCTCCTCCTCTCTCTCGCTCTCTCGCTCTCTCTCTCTCCCTCTCTCTCCCTCTCTCTCCCTCTCTCTCCCTCTCTCCTCCTCTCTCTCTCCCTCTCTCTCCCTCTCTCCTCCTCTCTCTCAAACTGTGAAGTGTAATCATAGCAGCTAAATGTCAGCAGCAGTGGCTATGTTTGCGTCTCAAATGGCACCCTATTCCCTACTTAGTGCACTACTTTTGACCAGGGCCCATAGGGAATAGGGTGCCATTTGGGACGCAGCCTGTGAGTCAGACTGGCTAGCTGGTCCTATTTATACGAGCTCAACTGTGAGAGAGAAGCTGGAGGTAGAGGGTATAGAACACTACATACAGCATGAAGGACCATGTTGGCCTTTTTTAACAAGAAGGAGAATGAGTTGAGTTGATGCTCTGATGTGTATCTTTGAGCCTATAGCCAAGTCCTTTAAGTCGTGGAAGTGTTTGGCATGTGTAGCGTGGTTCGGTAGGCACTATGAATGGGTGTGGTTCATGGTAATGCAACTGCTGCGTATCAATATCAACCCCCTCCCCTGTCTGTCTGTCTCTCCGTCTGTCTGTCTGTCCGTCTGTCTCATGTATGTCTCATGTCTGTCTCATGTATGTCTCATGTCTGTCTCATGTATGTCTCATGTCTGTCTGGCTGGCTGGCTGGCTCCCTCCCTGTCTGTCTACCTCTCTCTCTCTGCACCCTCCCTTCTTATCGCTCTCGCTCTCGCTCTCGCTCTCGCTCTCTCTCTCTCACTTCCTCTCTCTGTCTATCCATCTCTCTCTACACCCTCCTTTCTTAACTCTCTTTCTTTCTATCTCTCTCTTTCTGTCTAGCCACCGCACCACTCCTTTATCTCTCTGTCTGCCCTCATCTACCCCTGACCTCTTCTAATTGTCTCTTTCTCTTTTTCAGTAACCTCACTAACGAGACATGGTCCACTCCAGAACCACAAGCAGACCCTATGGTCCCCGTGAGACTCCTAGACCTACTGGTCCCAGAAGCGATCCTCACCTACTTCCTCCTCCTTCTATTGGTCTGGTTCCTGAACCACGAGTTCGAGGTCAGCTACCGTCTCCATTACCACGGCAACATAGAGGCCGACAAGCACCGCGTCAAGATCCAGAACATGCGGGACCAGGCCGACTGGTTGCTAGGCAACATCATCCCAATCCACGTCGCCGAGCAGCTCAAGGTGACCCAGTCGTACTCCAAAAATCACGACAACGCTGGGGTCATCTTTGCGAGTATTGTGAATTTTTCAGAATTCTACGAGGAAAGTTACGAAGGCGGGAAGGAGTGTTACCGAGTGCTCAATGAGCTCATCGGCGACTTCGACGAGTTGCTAAGGAAACCGGACTTTGCCAACGTGGAGAAGATCAAGACGATCGGCGCCACGTACATGGCGGCGTCCGGACTGAACGCTCAGCAGTGCATTGACGACTCCCACCCCAACTCTAACCACCTGAGGGCGCTGTTTGACTTTGCCCTCGAGATGATGGGTGTTTTGGACGACTTCAATAAAAACATGCTAGGCTTCGGGTTTAAGCTCCGTATCGGGTTCAACCACGGTCCCCTGACGGCGGGGGTGATAGGCACTACCAAGTTGCTCTACGACATCTGGGGAGACACAGTGAATATTGCGAGTCGCATGGACTCTACAGGGGTGGAGTGTCGGGTACAGGTGAGTGAGGAGAGCCACTCGGTGCTCAGCGGGATGGGGTTAGAGTTCGACTACCGCGGTACCGTCAACGTCAAGGGCAAAGGTCAAATGAGGACCTTCCTGTATCCCAGGAGCGCTGAGAGTGGTGGGCAGCTATTGGCTGAGCCTTTGCTACAGCCACACCAATTAGTTGCTGTTTTGCCCCTGGTGAAACCTGTCCAATCACAGGCAGCCGTTGGACCCGTGGGGGAAGGAGACGCCGTTAATACGACAGAGTCTGATGCAGGTGCCAAGGTGCCAGGTCCTCATCCCTTATCCTCTTCTTGCACTCCTCCCTCCTCCTCTTCCTCCACATTCACCCCCCAAGCCTCTTTCATAGGACCTTCTGGAGCTCCTCCAGGACTAGGGCCAGAGCCAGGCCCGGCCAAGCCCTGCGGGGTGAGGGCAGATCGGGCAGAGGGGTACAGGGACGCTCCTCCAACCCCACCAGGAATCCCCCAAACTGGGGCTGGCCACCCCCCTGCTATGGGCACGGACCATCACCTCCCTCACCTCCTTACCCTGGACCTAGACCCGGAGCTAGTACCCTGTACCTTGGCACAGCCTGAGGAAGAAGAGGAGGAGGAGGAAGAGGAGGCGAACGAGCTGACAAAGCTCAATAAGGAGGATTTCATGTCACGCCTTTGATCCGTCAAGTGCTGATCTAGGATTATCCATATAATTCATTATGATCTAAAAGTCCAAACTGATCCTCGATCAGCACTCCTTTCTCTGAGCTGAGCTGAAGACAGAAGTAGCTACAGATACAGGTTTGTAGGGATGGAAGGAGGTTTTTTCCCTAACTTATCCATCAATCACCTTTCTGAACCCAAACACATGTTTTCACATGATGAAATGTGACTGCAGACTGAGTGACTGTTGGACATTGACTTGTAGTCAAATTATGATGACTCATCACTTTTCTATAGGAAGGGGGAAGGGCTGTGTTGAGCACAGTGCGGCACAATATAATGGAGGGAGGGGGAAGGAGGAGGAGAGAAAGGGTTTTCGCTTCTTGATGTTGAGGTTTTATTTTTCTTATGCTTTGGTTGATATGTAAAGAAGTGCCTTCAGGACTAGAACCGTTAACGAACAAGAAATGAATATCGAACAAAAACACAAAAAAGGTTGGAACAATCTTTAGCATGGCTTATTTTTTATATTTAAAAGCTAGTCTACCTATGAGGCTGTAGTTATTTTACTACAAGTTGTTTTCTTCAATGCAATTTCTTTTGTTATTATATCGTTATCGTTTGTGCCATATTCAGCCTATTCACCTGACCGTGAAGGGTAATAAATTACTTGCCAGACAGTGGAGGATCATGGGTAAGAAGCAGGGATTTATGGGTAGAATAAGGGAATGACAAAAAGCAGTGTTATTGGTGTTTCTGCTTTGAGACGATGGCTTACAGTGTTTGTGATGTGCTACATAGACCCAATACTAAAGGGAAAGCCAACATAGGGCTATATCTTCACACTGACACTTTTTTATGTCCAACTTTTCAGGAAGCACATTTTTAAAATAAACTTCCGTACAGCTTCTTTAAGTGGTCTGTGGAACATAACTGTCGATACCACAGGTCTCCTCAATGGGTCTCACACAACTTCTCCTAGACCACTCCTAAATGGAAATGACAAATTGGTATGGTAGCCTATAGCAAGCAGTCTTGACAGTAAGAAAACTGAACAAATACGTTATAGCATTCTCTCAAGTAACAACAATTATACTCTAACAAGTATACTGAAAAAGCACAAATCTAAAAATCGTTTAAGGGAATAATAGTGTAGGAAATTAAAGGGACTATTTAGTTATAATCAAAATGGGAAAGCACTTAAAAACTTTAGGCATAATATGTGTTAAAAGTATGACATTCGCCAAAAGTAACAGAATTCATTACAAACAGTTTATTAACGTGTTATAACATGTATTAATGTGTATTGAAGTGCAAACTCAAGTTTGTATGACATTCTATCCATTGTGTTAGTTGCCACAGAAACAAATTAGTTTGACCGACACCAGATTCAACCAATGGCTAATCACGGCTGCCTTTAGCTTTGTGTGACATGCTGGTTTGAGGGGTGGGACATTTAATCTTTTATCCAATTACAGCCTCTGCATGAGGGAGGCTCTACTGTATTAATGTACTTAAAATGTGCCACTTTCATCAAGTTATTATTTGGGTGCAATGCAACCTATATTTTTCAACGTCTTCATTTTCAAGTAGATTTTTTGTAGTGCCTAAAAAAACTGTAATTTTTAAATTCTTTTTTCTTGCTGAGTTTGTATTGATGATGATAGCAAGGATGATGATGATGATGATGATTGTATGTTTTATGAAATTATGAATCGCCTTGTGCAGTTCCGACTGCAACTCCTGTTTTGAGAAAATCAGCATCTTGCTCACTTGTTTTTTCTCTTTCTTTCTCTCTCTCGCTCTCTCTCTCTTTCTTTCTCTCTCTGACTGATTCTCTGTGAATTCTATGTGAAGGGTGGTGTGCCCAAGGTCTCTTCTGTGCTCCCTCGCTTTTCCCTTTTCTCTCACCTTGCCTTTTCCCCTCTTTTCCCCTCTGCTCAAGCTTTTACTTCTGAAAGAAAGCGTCTGTAGGGGATTCATCTGTAGCCCTGTCACTTTTGTGTCTTACATTTCAGCCAGAGTGTAGTATGAAAATCTGTGTGTGTGTGTGTGCACGCGCGCACACTTTTTTCCGAAGCCTCTATCCAAGCCCCTTAGTGCTGATCTAGGGTCAGTTTTGTGTTTTAATTCCTAATGGTCGATGCTAGGACTTGGATAGAGTAATCTGATTAGTAATCTTTGGGGATACCTCTACTCTGAACTACAGGGAGAACCAATGAGAGCTAGTTTAAGGGTCTTTAAGTGGGCTATCAGATGAAATATAACCATATGATACGAATCAAGGCAGATGGCCTATAACTTCAATGTGAGTGCCCACAAAAAGATCTAGAAATCGTATTAAATCGTAATTAATTGCAATATGTTGGTCATATAATGCCAAAGTACCCTTACCAAAATTCTGCGTCTGTTTAAACTTTGGGACTTATTTTTTTGTTTACCTACCACCAATATGTACTCCTAATATGTCAGTGCCTTTTGCTAGACATCTTGTTTGGATGAAGTTGGGCACAGTAACCAAGACTGGTATCTAAGGGACAAAAAAACAAAACAAAAAAAGGGAACTAGACAGAACAGGGAGGAGGGATATGGGCACGCCACCCCTTTACTACAACACACCTGCACCATTACTGAAAAATAAAAAAGGGAATATAAGTAAAAACTAAACTGTCTCGAACTCTGTGCTCCCTGGTAAAAATGGAGGAAGGGAGGAATGGGAGGGAATGACTTTGACTTTGCTTGTTTGAGTCTGAGATTTTCACCACTTTGCTCTGTGTGTGTGTCTTTGTGCCTGCATGTGGGTGTGTTTATGTGTGGACATACTTACACTTTTCGCCACCACTTCTCACCCATACACTCCCGCCATTGATCACTGATTTCTTTCTTTGCCTCTCTTGCCATTTCTAACCAACCTTAGGGTTTGTTTGTTAGCTTTCATGACATGGATAAAGCCTCTAAAAGTATATTTTACTTGAGCCCAAGTAGTATAATTAAAAAAATATACAGTGCATTCGGAAAGTATTCAGACCCATTGACTTTCGCCACATTTTGTTACGTTATAGCCTTATTCTAAAATGGATTAAATGTTGTTGTTTTTTCATCAATCTACAGACAATACCCCATAATGACAAAGCAAAAACAGGTTTTTCCACATTTATTAAAAATACAATTTTGAAATATCACATATACATAAGTATTCAGACCCTTTACTCAGTACTTTGTTGAAGCGCCTTTGGCAGCGATTACAGCCTCAAGTCTTCTTGGGTATAACGCTACAAGCTTGGCACACCTGTATTTGGGGAGTTTCCCCCATTCTTCTCAGCAGATCCTCTCAAGCTCTGTCAGGTTTGATGGTGAGCGTCGCTGCACAGCTATTTTCAGGTCTCTCCAGAGATGTTCGATCAGGTTCATGTCCGGGCTCTGGCTGGGCCACTCAAGGACATTCAGAGACTTGACCTGCAGCCACCCCTGCATTGTCTTGACTGTGTGCTTAGGGTTGTTGTCCTGTTGGAAAGTGAACCTTCGCCCCAGTCTGAGATCCTGAGCGCTCTAGAGCAGGTTTTCATCAAGGTTCTCTCTGTACTTTGCTCCGTTCATCTTTCCCTCGATCCTGACTAGTCTCCCAGTCCCTGCTGCTAAAAAACATCCCCACAGCATGATGCTGCCACCACCATGCTTCACCGTAAGAATGGTGCCAGGTTTCCTCCAGACGTGACGCTTGGCATTCAGACCAAAGAGTTCAATCTTGGTTTCATCAGACCAGAGAATCTTGTTTCTCATTGTCTGAGAGTCTCATAGCAAAGGGTCTGAATAATTATGTAAATAAGTTATTATTATTTCATTTTTTTTATATACATTTGCAAAAATGTATGAAAACCTGTTTTCACTTTGTCATTATGGGGTATTGTGTGTAGATTGATGAGAAAAAAAATATTTAATCAATTTTAGAATAAGGCTGTAACGTAACAAAATGTGGAAAAAGGGAAGTCTGAATACTTTCCAAATGCACTGTATATATGCCATTTGGCAGACCCTTTTATACAAAGCAACATACATTTTACGTATGGGTGGTCCCAGGAATCAAACCCACAATCCTGGCGTTGCAAGCGCCATGCTCTACCAACCATGCCTAACAGGACCCAACTGAGCCATACAGGATAATTATGCTATACAATATCTAATACGAATTGGGAGACAAAAGCCAACAACGAGCAAACGAATTATTCAGTAACATAAGCTTAAACATCAAGGATGCATAGAACAGATATATGGAAATTAAATATATATTGTTTGAACTGAACCAGTGTCTGAGCCTGTGTTTCTTTCTGCAAAATAAGTAATTTTACCAGGCTTTCACTATAGTAAATACATGAGGAAAATGTATTTGAGGGAAATGTATATGAGGAAAAATTGACAATTTTAATTGTTGAGAAAATAAATAAATACATCTTATTTTTACTGTTTGGGGTGCACATATACTAAATATTTGCGGGTGTGTTAGCGCATTCAAACTGTCATCACAAGCAAAAAAAGTTGATAATTCACTCGCTGATTAAATTGCACACTCACTTTTTTCACTGCAATGGTAAATGAACTACAGTAAATTAGCTCCAATATGTTATTTCCACACTGGGGATAACAATACAGTGCCTTTCAAAAGTATTCATCCCTCTTGGCATTTTTCATATTTTGTTGCATTACAACCTGTAATTTAAATTGATTTTTATTTGGATTTCATGTAATGGACATACACAAAATAGTCCAAATTGGTGAGGTGAAATGAAAAAATTACTTGTTTCAAAAAATTCTAAAAAATTAATAACGGAAAAGTGGGGCGTGCATATGTATTCACCCCCTTTGCTATGAAGCCTCTAAATAAGATCTGGTGCAACCAATTACCTTCAGAAGTCACATAATTAGTTAAATAAAGTCCACCTGTTTGCAATCTAAGTGTCACATGATCTGTCACATGATCTCAGTATATATACACCTGTTCTGAAAGGCCCCAGAGTCTGC